CACACACACACACACACACACACACACACACACACACACACACACACACACACACACACACACACACACACACACACACACACACACACACACACACCACCTCCTGACCTGGACCTTTACAGTGGGCTTGTATCTGCTCTCCTTTTGTCTCCGCTCAGATTGAATCTTCTTCTTCTTCGGTGCTCTTTCATCCTCATGTTTTGTCTGCACAGCTTTAAATAATTAAACATCCAGTAGGAGCTGCCCCAGATGGAGGACCACATGTTGTTGTTGTTACTGATTACAGTTACTGCCTGCTCTGAATGATCTGTCTCCGTCCTGTAGTACCGATCATCCCAACATTCCTCTACGCCATCGAGCATCCGAGTCCAGAGCCACAGACCGCCCAGCCCTCCCTGCTCCCTCTGCGCAGCCTCGATGCATCACGTCTGGGCACTGCACCCTCACGGCCCCCCTCCTCCGCCTTCAGCCTCCAGACCTCCAGACGGACCTCCCAGCGCCTCCACCTGCCTCGGCCCAGTACCGGTGCACCGGTCCAGGTTACAGGGCCGACCCTATCAGCTCTGGTGTCCCTGTTTGATAACTCGACCTTCAGCCTGACTGACGCGAGCGCCGGCACCGAACCGGCGGACCGGACCTCAGTGACCGCGGATGTGCAGGGCAACGAGACCGAAGTAGGTGGAGACCACCGATACCTGACCAGCCCATCGCTTCATGATCAATAATCTATCAGCTCTGGTTCCTACTGTTCCCCTCTGTTTCCTTATTTTGTTTTCTCGTTTCCTTTCTTTTGTCTCCTCCTCTCTGTGATTAATCACCTTGCTCTCTCTGCCCATTTCCTCACTTCTCTCTAAACCTTATTTCACTTCCTTGTTTTGGCTTGTTTCACACATTTCCTTTCCTTAGGGCTCTTCCTGTCTTCAGGACAGTTTGTTTCTGGAAGAAGAAAATGTTCGAGTTGGTTTGTTGTTTGCTTCTAAAGCTATCATCCAGCTGCTCGTCAACCCCTTCGTTGGTCCACTGACTAACAGGTAATATTATAATTAGCAGTAATAGTAATGTTAGCAGTAATATTATAATTAGCAGTAATAGTAATGTTAGCAGTAATATTATAATTAGCAGTAATAGTAGTATTGAAAGAGAACATGCAGACAGGCTGAACCTTCTTGTTCTGAAACTGAAGAATGTTTTTCTGTCTGCAGGATCGGGTATCACATCCCCATGTTTGCTGGTTTCATCATCATGTTTGTGTCAACCATCAGTAAGATGTTACACACACACACACACACACACACACACACACACACACACACACACACACACACACACACACACACACACACACAGAGGTGTGTTTTCTCTGAAGTGTGTGATCCTGTGTGTCTCTGTCAGTGTTTGCCTTCTCAGGAACGTACGCTCTGCTGTTCGTCGCTCGCTCTCTGCAGGGGATCGGCTCGTCCTTCTCCTCAGTGGCAGGTCGGCACAGAACACCTGAAGCAGACAGTGTTTAACAGCACCTGTACATACACCTGTACATACACCTGTAGTCTCACCTGTACTCTCACCCATATGTTAAGTGAAGCAACCTCTTGCAGTCATGTGACTAAACTGTTAAATGTGGCCTGATCTAAAGGTGTGAACAGATGCGTTCGTGTTCAGGTGCTGGATGATGACATCATGTCTTCGTGTCATGCAGGTCTGGGCATGCTGGCCAGCGTGTACACGGATGATGAGGAGAGAGGCATCGCGATGGGCGTGGCACTGGGAGGACTGGCTATGGGAGTCCTGAGTGAGTCACAAACTCAAAAAAAGTGTCGCTACAAACCACGCGAGAACGTTCAGTCTGGCCGCGGCGACAGATGTGGTGTATGAACGAGTCGCCCACCTGGAGAGTTTAGTTTCACAGCTCGCTGTTTGTCCACTCTCCCAGAATATGAAGCACATCTGGCTACAGGAAGCAGCTTAGCTCAGACTTGCAGCATACACCTGGTACCTGTGTCTGATCCAGGTTGCATCATGTTCACGCCATAAACTAACTGCTTCCCCAAAGGGTCTGGGCGCAGCTGATTGGTCCACAGCCGAGTGTCACTGCTGCACAAGTGAACTGGATGTTCACTGAATGTTGATTTGTCAGGTTTACATGATGCTGTTGTTTTAGCTCTTCATATAGTTTGTGTGTTGTGTTTCAGTCGGAGCGCCTTTCGGCAGCGTGATGTATGACTTTGTGGGGAAGAGCGCCCCCTTCCTGATCCTGGCCTTCCTGGCTGTTTTCGATGGAGGTAAACCTGGAGACGAGGCTGGTCCTAATGCAGGATGATAATGATGGGTGGAGCCCCTGTGGCGTCAGCACGTTTAGCTTTTTTTTGTTGTTTTAATGCCGTCGTCATCCTGATTTACCGGAGCCGCCCTCGTGTGGCCGTTAGAGGAACTGCAGCTTTTTCAGCACATTAAATCAAACACATTAAACACAGCGTGGTGCCCTTTTCATAAAATATGATCCCCTTCGAGACCAAATTGAAGTAAACAGGATGATGAGCTGCAGCTCAAAGTTCACAAATGTCCAGCTGACGTCACGGTGACCACGGCTTTGTTTAGACCAACCAAGGTCGCCAGCATCACTCCAGATTTTGTGTGTGTGTGTGTTGCAGCGTTGCAGTTGTGCATCCTGCAGCCTTCAAAGATCTCTCCTGGGGTGAGTCCACTTTGAAATCCTCTCATCTGTTTATCGTGTCGAATGTCCCATTGTTCAATCGGGAAGGTCAAATGTAAATATGAGACGCATTAAAATAATCAAACTTTAACATCTTATTATTGATTGAAATAATTCAGAGCTTCATTATCAGATGATGAGTCAGTGTAACGATGTGTTCCTCCTAACAGCGCCATCAGGAAGAAGGAATCACAGACACAGAGTAAGCTGGGAACCATTAAAAAACTGTCAAAGTTTGAGCCAAAAGTGGAGAAAATTGGGGAAAACGTCTGGAACCAGTGGGAAAAAGTAAAAGGAGGAAACTGAACTCTTCTAGATCAACATGTTTCATGCACGTTAATCTAGATGTTCTGAAATTATAAGGACAGTAAAAAAAAATTTGATCCCAAAACATTGATTCTGTTCATCTGGATGTAGCGCTACATCCAGATGAACAGAATCAATGTTTTGGGATTTCCTTATCTTGGTGACTGAACATCAGACATAAACATGTTTGACTTTTTCCTGGTTTCAGTGTCGCGTTTTTATTTCAAAACTGAAACAAATAAAAGGCAAAAACTGGGGGAAAAACCCCCCAAACAAACCCAGAAACAAATGAAACAAAAACTTTGTGATGAAATCTGACAAACATTAAGAAATTTTCCACTGATTAAAATTTTCAGTGACTTAAATTTTTCAAAATAAAACATGTCGGCCGGTTTCTGAGCTAATCTGAAGCTATTATACGGATCAAAAACATCTGTTTAAAGAGCCGACGGTTCTTCGGTGCCTGTTTGAATCGCAGCTGTTCTGGGTTCTCGTTGGTTCTGCATGTTGTCCAGCTTCAGCTCGTGGTTTTATGGTTTCAGAGTGTGGAGGGAACGCCGTTACTCACCCTGCTGAAGGATCCGTACATCCTCGTCAGTGCAGGTGAGGCGACTTCACCAGGTTTGTTTAGGAAAAACTGAACGTCTGCAGGTACGAGCAAATGTTCACATTAACATTTGTTTCTGCTCCACGTCTGCGCATGAAGGAGCAGCAGCTGGTGTGAAAAGTCCTGATCGTGTTGTGACTCGTGTAAATCTCTGTGTGCGTCTGCAGGGTCTCTGTGCTTCGCCAACATGGGCGTGGCCATCCTGGAGCCCACTCTGCCCATCTGGATGATGCAGACGATGTGCTCCCCGAAATGGCAGCTGGGTACGTTTTTCTGCTCGGGTCCGTTTGTGTCGACGCTGTAACGCTTTTCCCCGAGCTGCTGCCGTCACAGTTGATTCTGATGGTGGGTCACGGCTCGGGTCACTGTGAGGGTCGGTCGGTCGGGCGCAGATGCTTTTCACTGGATGTCCAGCCCGGCTGTTTCTGCTCTGACTTCACCACAGAAGCTCAAAAATGAGGTTTTCTGAAGGTGACCCAGGAGTTTCCAACATGAAGGCCACACTGAGCGTGCTCCTCAGTGTGTTCTGCAGTCATTGAGGTCGTTCTCGTGAAGTCGCCCCCGGGGTGAGACGTTCAGCGCAGACTTTGACGTCATTCGTGAGAAACAGCCTGAGCTGGCCCGAAGAACCAGCACCATCTTCCCTCAGCACCAGTCTGTCTCAGATCGGTCTCTCCGTGACTTCCCTCACATCCACTCAGCAGATATCCAGTTGAGGACTCGCTGGTTGGAGACATTAAAGGAGCTACCAGGACTTTGAGGAGCAGTTGCAGAACTGAGGTCTTTGTGACTGCACCTCATACGTTGACCCTAACAGGTGTGTGCTGTGTTGCAGGTATTGCCTTCCTCCCTGCCAGCGTGTCCTACCTGATAGGAACAAACCTGTTTGGTGTTCTGGCCAATAAGATGGGACGGTGAGTACTTCTGCATCTGACCACAGGAGAGGGTTTCTCAGGGTCAGGGGTCAGCCTCGGTCTGCAGAGACGTGAAACCTCTGCACAGGGTGAAGTATCAGACCTGGTGCTTAGACACCTTCAGACTCTGAGTGAGAGCTGACCTGGCAGAGCGTGTGTCAGCACCAATAAAACACTTTCATCATAAGAAACTTTATCCCGGCTCTGTTCAGAGGAGCGTTTCAAAGTGTTTCACAGGGATTAATGAGGCAAAGGAAAACCATATCGGAGCTGATCAGCACCTCAGAGATTAAGCTTACTTCTCCGGTTTTTAAGCTTTACATTGATCCGATCCTGCTGACAGATCCCTCGGTCCACACCACGTTTCCTGGGAATCTGTCCAGCGGCTAAATCAGCAGATTAGCAGATTAACTCTTCAGATCCAGTTCAGACCTGACGCTGAAGCTTTCTGGTAAACCAGCAGCTGTAAGAGGCTGATGTCTGTTTGTGTGTCTCCAGGTGGCTGTGCTCCATGCTAGGGATGTTTATCGTTGGCATCAGTCTGCTGTGTGTGAGTACGACATCATCTCTTTGTTTATCCATCTTCCTATGATTCATCATCATCTGTCAGTCATCGATCCTTTCATCCACCCAAACACCAAACAGTAACCCATCCGTCCGTCATTGGTTAATGTGGATCTGTGCAGCAGTGGGAGCAGGCGCTCCTCCTGACGCTCCGTCTGAACCCGGGGAGCCTCCCAGGAACCTGGTTTCCCAAAATAAGCTGGCATGCAGAGAAGAGCAGATTACATATTAGAGCCTCAAAGCTTCGAATGTTCCCATCGGGTGCTCTGTAAACTCTTCGTCTTCCACCGTGCACGCAGCATGAGCTTTCATAGATGACGAGTCAGTTTCTACCATCCACACCTGAGCGCACTTTTACTTTATTAGCCAGGTTACCTGTGCTGACGAGGATGCTGCCCAAACTAGCCCACCCTGCAGTGTTAGCACCATCACCTCACTTTAAGAAGGTCCTGAGGTCAAATCCACCAGCTTCCTCCCACAGCCCAACGACCTCCCTGTTAGGATAATTAGTGGTTCTAAATGGATCACAGGTGTGAATGATCACCTCTGCTCTGACCTGTACACCTGGAACAGGCCTGAGAACCACCTGTGATCCTGATCTAAGCAGGATATAAACTGATGTTCATGTTCTGGGAAAGCCAACAGAACCCTCACTTCCTGTCATCCAACCAATCAGCATGATGAAAAGAGCCTTCATGTCAGGAAGCACACCTCACGTTAAGCGTGATGTAACTGCGATGTTCGATGTGTGTTTCAGGTTCCCTTTGCCACCAGTATCTACGGCCTGATTGGACCAAACGGCGGTCTGGGATTCGCGATAGGTGACGTGTGAAATGTGTAACGGCATGTTTGGTCCGCACATCTGCAGTGTTTTTACTGAAACCATGAAATCAGTGACACCCTCTCACCTGTCCTGTGGTGCTTCAGGTATGGTGGACTCCTCCATGATGGCCATTATGGGCTACCTGGTTGATATCCGCCACGCCTCCGTCTACGGCAGCGTCTACGCCATCGCTGACGTGGCGCTGTGCATGGGCTTCGCCATAGGTACCACACTCACGTTCGCACAGCAGAAAGGAAAAAGCCAATGATGATATTAAAATCTCCTCCTGTTGTTCCAGGGCCATCCACAGGTGGCGCTCTGGTCCAGGCCGTGGGCTTTCCCTGTCTCATGGTGTTCATCGGGGTCATCAACATCCTGTACGCGCCGCTCTGCTTCCTGTTACGTAACCCTGCTGTCCGAGAGGAGAAAATGGTAAATAAAGCTCAGGGGTGGAGAAGAGAGTGCAGGCAGGGTGGAGACGAGTGCAGTGAGATTGATTGGTATTCACTCCTGCATTGTGTGTGTGTGTGTGTGTGTGTGTGTGTGTGTGTGTTGCAGGCGATCATTGATCAGGAGTGTGTGATGCACAGGAAAAACTACAACACAGAGAGCCGTGAGTTTCCTCTGAGCGACTACAGCGAGGAGGAGGAGACGGAGGAGTGATGCGCACAAGCTCGCCAAAACGTCCACATCGTTATACGCCACCTTCGTGTCACCTTTGCACTTCCTGATCATCATTTAGTTGGTTTAGTTCATCAGTGATGTTTAGTTTAACTCTGACTCATGCTAAGCTACTGTGAGCGATCAGAATCAGCCGATGGTGGTTGAAGCGATCTGGATGTGAATTTCAGAATCTGTGTGTGCTGTTCTTGTGTTTCCTCCCACCTGCAGTCAAGTGTTGAAACTGTACCTGTGTCTGACCTCTGACCTGTGTCACCATTAAAACCTGCCCTAACCTGGAGAGCAGCTGCTCACCTGTGTGTGCTTACCTGTCCATCACAGTGTCAGGCTCACAGAACTCTGTGTGTGTGTGTGTTTTCATGCTTATCTTTCATTTCCTGACTTCTTGTTGCTCCTGAAAGGAACGCGGCGCTCCGTCAGCTGGAAAGGCAAACAGGAAGTGTCTGTGCAGCTCTCAGCAGTTCACACGCAGCAGCGTTATCAGTGTCAGCTCAGATGTTTTGTAGTTCAGGCAGGAGGACATGCTGTCACTGTAAGCTGCTGACTCGGGTTCAGGACGTGTGTGGACCTCGAAGCCAAAGGTGAGGTCGGCCTGCTCGCCCCACCTTTTACCTGAAATCATCTCCACAGCTTCACTCTGACACGCTAAGCCTCAACGTTTCCTCACATTTCAACTCAAATCAGTGAAAGGAAGAATAATGTGTGAAGAGACGCCTCACTGCGTTACACTGCGCCCTCACAGGCTCGTGTGTGTGTAATTACATGCTGCGACAGCAGATCACAGCTGCTTCAAAACATTTCCTCCTGCTTTGAAATCTGAATAAACTCATGCAGAGCTGATCCCTGTGTGTGTGCGCTCATCAAAGGCGTGTTTGACTCTGTTTCTGATGTGGTCGTGCGTGTGTAAACAGGCAGGGAGTGCTTCACCTCGGTGTCTCTGACCCTGATTGATGGTAAATAACAGAAGAAAACATTTCAAATGTGCTGCTAATGTCCCCACAAACACGCCGCGGCGTGCGCGGGTCTCTGATCGTCCCTCGTGCGCTGACATGCTTCCTCAGAGTGAAGCGTGAGCTCACTGTGCAGTTATCTGAAACCTTTAATGACACTTCAGCTCATTTAATGCGATGTTTCTGATGTTTCATTGAAACTAATCTGACATCTCATTAAGCACTTTAGCTTTTCCGGGCCCGCGTACGCTTCCAGCTTTCCCACCTGTGATTGTCATCACAGCTCAATCAGCCAATAAACATTTATTCCCTGTGAATGAACGACGGTACCTCCACACCGAGATCTGACTCCAGCAGGCCGTGGGCAGAGAGGTGTGTCCCAACCAGCAGCTCTGTTTTCCCCATGTCCACGCTCACATGAGGCCTGAAGCTGGAAGCTGAGCAGATCTCATGTGACAGCTCAGGTCAGCTGATCCAGTTACCTTCCTTTTACAATCATCAGTTTCTACACATCTCACACCTCCAGTAAAATATGAACTCTGTATTTATTTTGTTGTGAAGTTTAGATGTTCTCCTCGTGTCTGGGTGGGCTCTCCAGCTTTCCAAACAGGTGTGTGTGTGTGTGTGCCTAGATTTAAATAGTGCAAATAAAAACAAATAAAAGCAAAGCAAATATTTCTTACATCTTGAATAACAGCGTGTACAGCAGGACATTCCTTTTTTAAATATTCATAACAAAATTATTTAGTTTGAATGAGCAGGGTCACAGCGAGGGAAACATAAAAATGCGATGTAATAAGGTGCAAACAGACATTCAACAATAAAGTTTGAGTTTCTAACAAGCCTGAAAGTGAATATTTGGTGTGAGCAGCTCTGTGAGGATCTTCAGTTCTCCAGAGTTCCTGAAGGACAGTCGAAGCTCTTTGGATGTTTCTGCCTTTTGTTGTGTTGTCTGTCAGAATGATCTCACACTGCTGCAGTCATGCTGAGCTCTGACAGACAGAAACTCTGTGTAAGGCCCAGGTGGACGATAGATGATAACAAGTAAGACTGGTTTGAGTTTTACAGCTGGGGTGGACGATGTTAAGCATCAGGCTTTCAAATGAATTAAAAGTCTGTCTTGGTCTTTCATTAATTAATAGGCTGGTGTGAAAAACTGCTGCCACACCGCCCCCCCGGCCTGTGCTTCGAGGTTTCTGGTAGTTAGAATGACTCGGGGGTGTTGATTCATTTAGACGAACATAGTCATCCTGCTGCAACCAGGTTTCTGTAAGGCAGAGTAAATCGATTTGTTGATAAATTATTAAGTCATGTACTAACAGAGACTTGGAGGAGAGAGACCTAATATTTAATAATCCACATTTCACTGTGTTACTCTTTGGTTCAGATGTGGATACTGTATTGTTCTTTCTTTGTAATTGTTTATGTTTAAGTTGTTTGTTGCTGGTTTTTAGTTTGGTTTTTGTCTGTTTGGAAGCTGACACAGTCTCTATGGAGATGGGTTTTTGGGGGGGTAGCAGGAGGAGAGAAGCTGCAGAGAGGCGTGTAAGACTGCAACTCTGCTTCCTGGTCCCAACTCTGGATAGTCATATTTTGGGGGGTTTAATAAATTTGTCCATATTTCTAGAAATGAGAGCTGCTCCATCCAAAGTGGGATGGATGCCGTCTCTCCTAACAAGACCAGGTTTCCTCCAGAAGGTTTGCCAATTATCTATGAAGCCCACATCGTTTCTGGGACACCACTCAGACAGCCAGCAATTTAAGGAGAACATGCGGCTAAACATGTCACTCCTGGTCTGATTGGGGAGGGGACCAGAGAAAACTACAGAGTCCCACATTGTTTTGGCAAAGTTGCACACCGATTCAATATTGATTTTAGTGACCTCCGATTGGCGTAACTGGGTGTCATTACTGCCGACGTGAATTATGATCTTACTGAATTTATGTTTACCCTCGCCAGCAGTTTTAAATTTCCTTCAATGTCGCCTGCTCTGGCCCCTGGAAGACAACTGGCTATGGTTCCAGTTTAATCAGTTTGATGGTTTTTGTTTCCTTTTCAAATGATGTTCAGTCACTGTGATCTAAGAGGTTTGACTCCACCAATGACCATTGATCCTTAAACCAGTCCAATCAATCTGTTTGATCAGCTCTGCTGGAAATCTCACATCACTTATATTCAAACCAACCTGTCTAAAACCATCTCAAGTTTGTCTAAATCATAGCACGCGATGAATCAAAAATCATTTTTCATTGAAATGAATTTAATCTGACCTTGAATACAAGGAATCATAAAGAATTATGAATGTGTGTTTATTCACTGAGACCTTTACATTAGAAAGAGCTGCACCGCCCCACATGCTGCTGAGGATGTTTACTTTCACTTTTTAAAGACACACACAGGTCCATAGCAAATAAAATATATACATGCATAATACATAAGGAAGAAAAGAAAATTTTAAAAAATCCCACAGTGTGACACAATAACATAAAGGCTAGGAGACCAGTGGCTCCATAACTTGAATAAAACCAAACTGAAGTTAGTGCAGAGAGGTTTCTGGAGTCCTTTACCCCACACATACATCTGTGCCTCGGCGTGACAGGGAGCCACTCCAACACTAACAAACATTTGCACTGCTCCACCTCGGCAACTTGAGCATCAACCTCATTCCATCATTATACACACTGCAGTGGGTTTCTGCATGCTGCTTTCTCTGCAGCTCTTCCACAGATGAGCAGTGTACACTGGATTTGAAGAGTCCACACCTCCAAAAAAACCCAGAATCCCCCAAAAATAGAAATTAAAGATCCAAACATGAACTCATTAATGAGTCGTTGTTGTTGTTGATCACTTCAAGAATTCATTGCAACATGCTTGATGCAAGCGTTTCCATGAGGTGAGTGGGAACATTTCTCCAAGTGGTGAAGACGGCTGAATGAAGGGCATCTACTGTCTGGAACTGTTGTCCATTTCTGGTTACTCCCCGTGCCATCCATCCCCAAAGGTTCTCAGTTGGATTTAGATCAGGGAAACGCAAGATGCTCTCTGCAACATCTGGACTCAGCTATCGGCCGTTTGATGCCCCTGTACCTCCTGAAGCTCCATTGTTCCACTGAAGGAAAAAATACCCCAGACCACTATGGTGCTGCCTCCACTGTGGAGCATAGAAAACATCTCAGCTGGGATCTGCTTGTCATGCCAGTAACATTGGAAACCATCAGGACCATCAAGGTTACATTTGTTCCTTTTAGAAAATAAAACTTTTTTCGACCTTTCACTGTCCCATGTTTGGTCCAAACGGTCAGTCTCAGAGCCCGTCTGATGCTTGTGGGGCTGCAGTCGGCACCAGTAATGCCCTTAATTTGGGTCGAGGATCATCCAGTGTGTTGACCGACAGCCAATTGGATCCTTCGGCTCGGTGCTGTGAAATTTCTTTGGGTCTTCCTCTTGACTTTCTTGTTCCATAACCCTCAGGACTGTTTTACTGCGTCCCACCTCAGCAGCCATGGTGCACTGACAGAGACCCTGCTTATGCAGCTCAACAACTCGACTACTTTCAGAAAAGGAACGTTTTTTGGCCTTTTTTGTCAAAAGATCACAACAGTGTGACTACCTGACAGAAAATGGAGATAAAGTATCTGAATTTGCGGCGCAGGACTACGCCTCCATACACGCTCCTTTCGGTTATGATCTATATATGAATGCTTCCCCATCTACAAGCTGTTCGTTCTCTTTTTCGTGCCCCTCCCTCCTCTTTTCATTTTTTTCACTTCTTCACTTCTGTTTAGTACATGGGGATCTTTTTTTTCTTTTCCTGTCCCATTTGGTCCTTTAGCTGTCAGAATTTTTGTCTGAAGACTAACAAGGAGACCCAATGGATTTACTTTGCCAAATGGATCATCACGGCATTGCCGTATTGGTCCATATAACCTTTGTTGTTATTATTTATTTTATTTTATTTTCAGTTGTTACAGACAGGACAGACATGACTGAGGGATAGGAAAGGGAGAGAGAAAGAGGAAGGAAAAGAAAAACAGAAGGGGAGAGGGACAGTGAGAGAGGAAACTTAAAAAGAGAAAGAAGAGAAAAAAAATCTCCTGGATCACCTGTTGAGAGAAAAAGAAGAGAAAACAAGCAAAAACAACAGAGCAACATACTAAACACAACACCATCACGTTAATCTAGGGATAGACATACATGGACACTGTACACACAATCACACTCCCCAAACAAACTCTATACCCCAGGTCCAGGTACCCTCACCCTTGGAGGGGGAAACGGCACCTAGCCAGAGCCCTAGCACGGAGGCGAAGCACCCCCGAACCCCAAGCCCCCACGCCTGCCCCGGATCCACTCAGGGGCAGCCAGGCTACCAGGCCAGTATGTCAC